GCCAATGCTTAACTTTCCTGTGCCCAGAACAGCTGGAATTCTACATTTGTTCAAATTATTTTTTACTTTACTTTGTTTTTTGAAAATGATTTTCTGTATCATATTAATGCATTAAGAAAATGTGGTAATTGCAAGCGGTATATCTATTTCAAGCATAAGGAACCATTCTGACTTTGATGACTGGTTGTATATTTCCAATTGAACAAAACATTACCATTAAAGTCAGCATAACATTGTGTTTTTGCCGGTATATGAAATAGTGGGACAAAGAAAATCATTCCTGTTTGAAAGCACAGACATTTAAGAAAAGTTTACATAAGCAGCATTTATAGATGACACTGTATATAAGAGAATGTGTGTTTTAAAGTTTTCCAATCTATCCATCTGTATCTGGCTGAATGTATTGAAAAAGTATTTCAAAACCTGTATAATCACATTTATATCAATGTTATTATGTTAATATCCAGAAAGATTGGGCGAAAAGTGTATCTATGAAATGAACTAATAAACATGGATTGTACATTAAAATGGAATAAAATCAGGAAGGTAATATTCAGCTGCTTATTAAGAAAAAAAACTAATGTTTTTGGGCATGTGCCACCCACTTCATCAGCTCACAAACACAATTTTATCAATTTACATTACACTTTTCATGAATATGCAAACAAATATTCAAACAAATGCAGCTAGCCCAGTATAGTTTTTTTTGTACCCTTTAATCAAGCAATAAAATATGAATGTGTTTAAATAAGCAATAGAGGACTTGTATTAATCATGAAAATTATTTTGACTTGTGAGTTAGACACAGCCTATGTATTAATTTTTTTCATGAGTTGCTTTTATGGTATGATTTCAGGGCAGTTTTAATTGACCATTTCTCTAACTCAAGCTTGGCTTTAATTGGCTTTACGTGTATCCTCTGACAGGTGCTTGCACTCTCTTGTTGTCCCCACATCTGCTTAGTGAGTTCGATATAAACGTTTTGTTTTGGTTTTTATTTGCGTTTTCGTAGTTTTAATATTAGATCTGGTCATTTGGCTGTTATAATAAGATATAGCACTCATTTCTAAGTATTTTTTTCCACAATCCATTTTCCATGGTACATTTTCTGTCTTTTTCTTGATCTGGGCATATTGCACTTTCTTTTTTTTTCATTTACCGCTTGGTTTTAATCTTAATTGCTTGAAAAAAAATTTTCATTACACTGTTTTCTTTTTCAAACTCATTGGTACAAAGTTGGTTTTGTCATTTTCTTCAATATTTTATTTTTAATATGGTTTGCAACCAGCTTTTTAGCAGTTACTTTCTTGATATGATATGTTGAATATGTACTAACCTGCAAACAATATTTTTAAGTCCTTTTTCGGCACTTTTACTCAAATGTTTTATTATTGTTTTATTGCAATTTTTATTGGTCTGTTGTCATTTTTATTTTTTTGTTTGTATGTGTTGCTAAGTAATTGCTTTTTAAAGAATGATTCCTTGTGTGTGTGAACATTGTTTGATTCAATGACTTCTGAGAGAGGCGATGCGGTTGAATGAATAAGTATTCAAATATAGCAACTTGGGCAAATAAAATGTACTTGAATGTAGATTGTCTATGCAAACTGGAAATAATGTTGTAATTAGGATGAACAATTTTTTTTATTTTTTTTTAAATTTTTTGACTTTTAAGTAAATTTGTTGATTACCCGTAGGTTGGCAACAGAAGTGATATGAGAATAGCATTTAAAGTACAATAATAATCCGAAATACATATTATTCAACACATATGGACCTGTTAATAAAAATATGATAAAATTTTAAACTCATGTTTTTATTTATGTTGAGAAGTTGTTTTAAATTAAAGGTTTAAGAGAATTGCTTGCATCTTATATCATTTTTCTTTCTTACTTCAAAATTGTGTTCATAAATGTGTGGGTTTGCCGAAAAGGTGAACTTGTGTAATATACCAAAACTTCGTATATGTCTGCGCTACAAATTGCTTCCAGTATACGAGGACTATGAACTGCTTCTTATATTATAATTACATTTTAATGCTTTAGCAGTTAGATTGTAATACTTTTCATATAACTTTGTCTTGTTGTTAAAAGGTTTTTAATGTTTGTGCCAAAAAATAAAATGTTATAAGAAAAATGTTAATCTAGAAAAATTAACCCATTTATTTAATTAAGAAATGTTAATTAAGGAGTGGCCAGTGTGTTCTTGCCTCTTGTTTATCACATTCTTCTGCAGTTTAAAACTATTGATGCTTTAACCCTGATTGTGCTAAATTTATGAAATGGGACTTGCCCAGCTTTAACTTTGGAACAGTCCAGAGGGTATTCAATATGAAAATATTTTTAAAGTTGGCAACCCATAGTATAGATTCAAATCGTACTGTATTGTCTTACCAATTTTCACAATTTTATCTTGATACCCCCCAAAATTGATAATGGAAAGTTCCAAAGTGAAAGCTGGACTTAACCAATATTATTTTAAAAGATCGGTAATTTAAGGGTATAATCACTGATGTATTAATGTATTTATCACTTAATATCTTAGTAAAAGTTCACATTTACAGCCTGGTGTAGGGTATTTATAAATGCTCGACAATCTGTTTCCGATATATTTGAAATCTTTGCAAATGTCGGACCTTATGTTTTGGTCACACCAACCAATTTAAAACACCATGTTCTTAAGTCTGTCTGTATACAATGTTTATTTTAGATTCTGTTATGTGTTCAGAAAAAATATAAAATTCTTAAAATTTATTTAATTGTTAATTAAAATAATTTATGTCACTATCAGGAGGACACTTTGTTACTCAGTGTTAGAATACAATTAAGATGTTTCCTTATTGAACCACCTCATAGTAAATGAAATAGTAATAAAAGTAGCAAGAATTGTTGACTTTATTGTGCAATATTTTTATTGGCATTTTCTTTTCTTTTTTTATATTGTGAACAAAATTGTTCATTTTTGTATGAATTTAGAAATATTTTTTTACTCTATTGAAAGGATTCAGAAAATTGATATTTTTTACTGAATTTTGCTAATAATTTTTTTCTGTAGTTTTCTAACATAATAAAAGCATGTGATTCTATAAAATACTGATACCTGTAGAATGGCAGTTATATTAAAAGTTTCACAGGGCTTGCTTAATATTTAATTTTTGTTAAACATTTTATTAAAAAAAAAAAAAAAGAAAAGCATTTTTGTTAGAAAACTCAGGATAAATAAAAAAAAACAACAGAAAATCCTTAATCTTTTCTCAAGTTCATTGTTAGAGAAAAAACAACAACTAGCAGAAGACTCAGTTATGTTTTAATGATTTATTTGTTGTTATTAATTTAAAGCCCTGGTTATTCCAGGAGAGCTGTGGCTTGGTGATTAAGCTAGCTGTCTTTCGAAAACCCAGGTCTTATTAGTTTGAGCCCTTGCTGGGGGGTCTTGGAGCTTAAATAGACACCATAAAAGCCTTGTGACATTTTGAGCTAACTTAACTGAGTATTAGCTAAGTGATACTTATATATGTATTTAGCCTTAGTCATTGCATCACACTTTAACATGGGTACAAGTTTTCAGGCATTTGCCAGAAGTGCATGTCTTTTTTCTACTCTTGAAAGCTCTTTGTCCATAAACAACCAATTGAAATAATACTAAATTCAGGGTTTTTAGGTTTTCTGATTGTTTAAAACTTGCACCCATGCTTATATATATATATATATTCACGCAGCAATTATGTTTAAACTGCTGGTTTTGTGTACAAGATCATATCTGACTGGTTGATCATTTGACTCTATTAACTCTTTATTTTTCTGTACCCTGTTTAATAGTATTTTGCCTATTGATAATAAAAAAAATATGTACTATACTCATGTGTTATTTGTTGTATTCTTATCCCTATTTGTTGCCATGGTGACCCCCAAAAAAGCAGTGAGCAACAAGATTGTATAAACCAATAGAATCATTTTCTGTTTCTATGAAGTTGACATTTTTTGTATTCTTTGGAAACATGTAATATGGTTCTCTTTAAAGGTAGCTTGTACACAAAAAAGAATCTGACCTCTCTGAATACTAGGTGAAAACCGTTTTAGAAATAGTACATAGCACTGAGGGCCTTATAGCATTATAGTGAGTGATAAGTCAGTTTTCAAACATTTAACAGACTGAATCCGGAGGTTAAGGTCTGTTCAGTGTTGTGAACTGAGTTGGAGGTTATTATAATGCCATGATGACAGAAGTACCGTGTCCTGTATCTTAAATCTTTACTAGAATATAATGGTTAAAGTTAAGTGTTAATGTTTATATTGTTGTAATGGGCCGGTGGCCAATATCAATAAATAAATTGTCATTGTCAATGAGAAAAGAAATTATTTTGTTTCAAATTTCTAATAAAACATACTAAAACATTTTGGCATATGACCTGTGAAATAGGCATACTGTAAAATCTCCCTTGCAGGTATTCATCACTCGATGATAGTGGTCCAATAAAAACAATAGGGCTTGTCCAGGCAGTCACAATACTTCTTTGTTGGACCGCTGATGTCATTCTAATTTATTCTGACATATAGATAAAGAACTCATTTATGTAAAGAATAATATTTCTACATATGGTGACAATCTTACTACTTATCAGTGATTCAGAGTTACTTTAGAATGCCAGACTTTGAACATATCTCAATTTTCTGATGCTGTGAGACAAACGCACTACACACTTGTATGATGATTAGAACAGCTTTAGATCCAACACTAGAGTTCCCCTTTAGCAAAGCTAAATAACCTTCGAAGAATGTAAAAATTCAATTGTTCCGTCTTACATAAACATATTTGTTACTGTATTTTATTTACTGTACAATATTGATAAAGTGGAACAACCAATCAACACATACTGAGTTTTATAATACATAATGATGTAAAGCAATGTTTCAACTTGACAAGTTTTCAATTATTAATCAAAGATTTCTTTATAAAAATGACCCACATTATATTGTAATATTTCGTCTATTTGCTGATAGGTGCCAATGATTTTAGTAGGGAACAAATGTGATTTGGAAGATGAGCGGGTGGTGGGCAAGGACCAGGGTGCAAATCTAGCTCGAAGCTTTAACAGTGACATGTGTGGATTCCTCGAAACATCTGCCAAAGCCAAAATTAATGTGAATGAGGTAGGTTGTATGCAAATTGAGTTAAAAAAAAATTATAAGAAGGCTTGATAAGGTAACAACAATGTCATATCTTATTTTATCACATAAAGCATGGCGCGGGAGTGTAAAAATACCATTTGATAAAAACGATATTACACTAGTGTAATAACACTGACGTGTCGTCATTTGTGCTATAAACATAGTGTTTAAGCGCGCTTATGTTAGCATTACACTATGACTATAGGCACGACAATGAAAAATGACTTCTGTTTTTTTTAACAGTTTACTGTTCTTATATATGGGATAAATAGAATATTATATTCATGTAGATTCAATACTGAATTTATTGAACTTGTTGAATAAAACAATGTTATGCTTGCCAGAGGCTCACAAAATATGATTTCATTCAACTTGTTCAATAACTTAAGTATTAAACCTAAACTCATTCAATATCCTTTATTAATTTTAAAAAAAGAAATGGTACTAGCATTTGTTAATTTTAAAACATCTGAAACACATTTAAAGCATATTGTGCTTGCCAATAGTGATTTAAGGATTAAGTGCAAGGTGACAAATGTCCTGTCAACAAGGTTTAATTATGGACAAGTATTGCAATATTTATCAGAAAACAACTGGTAAAACTTAATAACAAAAAGTTTTGAGATTCCTATTAACATGATAGTACACATGTACATATTGTAAGATTAATTGTGATTTTTTTATACATCCACTATGTGTACGTTGGTTTGTATGCTTACATTTACAGTATTCAGTTTTGAGTTATGGTATGTTCTTTCTGTTTAATAGACTTGTTTAATATTTTTTTGTATCACATCCTTGTACCGCTTTAGTGCCCTATAAAAATGGTACAGACGCGCATATATTTTGAAGTGACATCTTTTGCATTATAGAAACATAGCGTAAAGATGCACTAAATGTTATATTATAGGCGCGTCAATGAAAAATGATTTTTTTTTTCACTTCAAACAGTCTTTATTTTGGTTTTTTTCACTTCAAACAGTCTTTGTTGGCGACGCCGGCGTCATCTCTTATGGAATGCTTTTAATTTTGGCCTATGGAAGGAGCTGTTATTATTACCAGATAATGTCATGTTGTGTTAATTAGTTTTATTTGATTCGTAAAAATCAAGTAAACAAATATGTTGTTATATTTGTATTTAATAACTTTATATAAAAAGCATGTGCATTGTGATATTATTTTCACGAAATTGCAGGCTTAGTTTAACAGCTTGTCCCTTAGCTTTATTGGCAATACTAAAACCCGGATTTCGAATATCGTTGTGGTCTACACTGATGCTGTATTCGTTTTCATTCATTTCTTTTTTTCTTTTTGGGTATGTGATAAAAAGAAAATTTTCATGTAGGTTCGATACTGAATTTATTGAACTCATTGGATAAAGTAATAATATGCTTGCCATAGGCTCAATTTATTCAATAAATTCAGTATTGAACCTACACTCATTCAATATCCTCCGTGTATATTCCTGAATCTAGTGCAGCACTTTTGAAGCTTAAATTTCAATATCTTCAGGTTCTGGAGCTCTCATTTTGTTAACAATTCAGCACAGTACAGTTGTAACTCTATGAACTTGTAGATTAAGTTACAACCATATTGTTATAAGCCTTCACTGTGTTTTCATGTGGCTTTATAAAAGATGGTCAATTAACATTTCAGATATTTTTCGATTTGGTGCGAATGATCAATAAAAAGAATCCTGAGACAAACAAAAAGAGTAAGAAGAAGAAGGGTGGATGTGTATTGGTGTGAGATTAGGAGCTAAACTTTCTGTAAGTGAAGAAGTTGTCATTTAATTTAATGTCATATCCTGTTAGATAAATGTTCAACAAATGTTTGATTTGTTAGATAGGGTCTGATCAAGCACCACACTTATGGCTGACAAACTTTTAATTTTTCATCTTGATATACCCAAAATTGATAATGGACAGTTCCAAAAATTCTAACTGGACAAGTCCATTTAAGAAATTCAGCAGGTCAATGTTTAAAATCATGGTCACAAGACAGTTTGTCTTTTCATTACTGAAGACGAGTATGTTTTTGACAATACACCCCCCATAGCAGATTAAAATTGGGATAAAAAATAACCCAAGTGGTACTTTTATTGTGATTGTTTACATTGAGGCTGATGATCTTATAACTTTGTCTAGATTTAAAAAAAATAAGAATTGAAACAAATATTAAACATATACGAGGGTTGTCCAAAAAATTTGTGCACTGCAGTTATTGTCGTGAGAGTTATTGATAGAAAAACATTAATAATATCTCACTTGAAGGGGAGATCTGTCTCAAATAAGAAAACAAAAGAAAAAAAAACGTGTAACAGGCATGTCGTGCAAACAAATCATCATACAGTTACCTTGGTAACGTAATACCGGCACACAACAAAAAAAATTGGGTTAGTTCATTACTTTGATGCATTACGGTATTCTTTAAACACTACATATTAACGTTAAATTTTAGAGAAAAGTGTGTTTACGTATTCCCAACATCATTAGAAAATATGACGTCAGTTGCCCTATTGTAGCAGTCGTAAACAAACATTTGTGTGTGGTCGTCAATATTGTAATTACATGAAAATGTCAGTCGCTAAACGTCTGGAAATACGGACGATCATTAAATTTTGTGCAAATATTGGTAAAACACCAACAGATACCTACAAAGAACTTAAAAGAGCAAGCGGGACAAGTTCAGTGTCACGAAGGCTGGTTTTTATGGCACAAACGCTCTGTAGAAAGGAGAGAGTCGGTAGACGATGACAACCGGTCAGGCAGACGTCCCTCCGTAATGCCGGCGCATGTAACAAGGGTTGTCCAATATATTCGTGCATTGGTGGAACATGTACGTTGCATAAAAACAATAAAAACTACACAATACTTTGCATCAATCATCCCTCTATTGACAGTAAAACAAATTATAACATAAAAGCAAATGCAACTTTACAAGCAACAAACAATGAATACAATTACAGTGATGAACTAACCTAATTTTTTGTCATGCGCCGGTATTACGTTACTTAGGTAACGTAATGACCATTCTTTTACACGACACGCTGGTTACTCAGCTTTTTCTTTTGTTTTCTTATTTGAGACAGATTTCCCCTTCAAGTGATATATAATTTACTTGTTTTTATTAATAACTCTCCCGACAGTTACTGCAGTGCACGAATTTTTTGGACAACCCTCTTATTACAACCTGTTACACAGCATTTTATTACACGACATATATTGATTTGTTTCAGGTTATACTCTTTATGTTATCTAGTGTATACTTGGGTCTTCACTATACAGACAGTAGCTTCGAGCCTTCCTTGATTACAGTGTTTATATGCCGTTACAATGTTACAACTTCATATATTCTACAATAATCAGCTTTAGTCAACTATAATATACCAAGAGATATTTGAAAAAAAAAATCCAAGAAGGGAAATTACTGAAGACCATCTACCGTTTCGTGAATTTAGTTCTGACATTTAAATACAAGAATTTTGGCTATAGGCTGTTGTTTGGATAGAATTATATGTGTTGCAGTTTTTACAACACTTGTATATTTTTACTCAAAACTTTCATACATTTTATTTTGTGTGTGTAATTTTTTTTAGCAATTATTAGTAGATTGACTTATAAGGGTGAAAGAAGAGTTCCTAGATAAACTACTGCATGCTACATGAAAGGTTTCCTTACTGCTTGCATGTATATTTTGCTATTAAAGTACAGTGAAATGTAGATCTGTTGAAATTAACTTTTGATTGATTTAATTTGTAAGAAAACTACAAATGTGACCAGTTTTCTTTTGTACAAGATTTTTCCTAGTTAATTTGCAAGAATATTTTGTCCTATCAAACAACTGCTTTTATTTATTTAGTGCTGATTTTGAAGTCTGGCCTTTTTTGAACAAACGTTTTTTTGTTAAACAAAATTGTTTTTTTCTGAAGTAAAATTCATCTCAGTTTAATAATATATGTAAATAATGGCGCACATTGCTTTGAAATTATATACCTACAACAGCTGTTCTCATTTTGTTGAGATATTAATAAGGTATGAAAAGCTTTTTAAGTTTTGAGTAATGCTAATAAGAAGATTTTTTTTTCATATCGTAGAATGACAGTATTAATTACTAATAAGAAAAAGACTATTTCAAAACATTTTCTTTTCTGCACTTAGTTTTACTGTTTGTTTTCTTAGGGGCATAAATTTGGTGTATTTGAATTTCAGTTTTTCTTTTTGAGATTGCAAATGTTTTTAAGACTGGAAGTACATAATTATCAAGTTACTGTATATTTTATTTTGATATTTAAATTTTGATTACATTAATTTAGAGTTATTGAACAAAAACTGTATCTGAACCTTATTCTACTTATTTCTGTTATTTTTCCAAATCGCATACATTGATAACTATGCTCATTTTTTCATGCAAAAATATTTTTAAAGAAAAACTTTAAAGTCATAATATTTTTTATGTCAAATTTGATTTTTCAATTTGTGTTGGCAATATAAAGAAATGGACCACTGTTCATAAAATATGAGGGTAAGGCATTGTACTGTTGTAACTGAAGTTATACTACTTTTACATAATGAGCCCTCTATATTTAAGTTATTTATAGAATCTCTACCCAACACTCCATTAAATTCTCTTATTTTTTTTATTCCTTTGTAAATCTCTTTTAAAACTGATTCCTGGCTTATTTTGTGGAAAGGATTTGACCTGCAGCTGGAATTAATTACGATTTTGAATCACAAAGAAATAGTTTGATTATGACTATGAAAGAGTTACAACAGAGTTAAGACATGGTAAAATGGTATACAGTTCTATGAATGCTACACTTTGTAAAGCATACCAGTCTGTTGACTGTGTCCTGCTGGGAAATGGCCAAAGTACACTAAAGTAAGCTCTCTCTCTCTCTCTCGCCCATTGATAACAGGCAGTTTCTATATTTATTACTTTACAGAAACAGCTCTGATATTTTATAGACTTCTCTAGGATTGAAAGTGTTAAGTTAAATCAAAAGTTTTGGAAGACAAAAATGTATTTTCAGGGTATGCTACATTTCTTTTTCTATACCAGCATTTTATATACATTATATTGAAATACCTCAATTCATAGATATGGAATTGTTAAAATGTAGAGAAAGGGAATTTGAGTACAGAAAGCACATTTTTGCTCCAGTATAGGAAACATAGATAGCTTTTTATTAAAAAAATTAGGTTATGAAAGAAAATCCATGTATGGAATTAAATTTATTAAATAACAAGATATAAAGTAGCAAGAATTCTTAAAATTGAAGGGGACAAAATTGAATTAAGTTTTGGATTTAGATAATAAGAGTTAGATTGGAAAAATAATTACTAAAACTGTCTTTGAGAGATTTTAGGAGCAAGAAAAAAAACAGCTCTAGCTTTGTGATATAATCTTATGTGATTATCTAGATATAGTAAATGTTATCTCTTGTGATCTTGCTGTTGTATTGTTATCTCCATTGTCGTGCAGTATTTGACTAATTATCTCCCTTTTGTTTCAGTAATTGAGTAATTATCTCCCTTTTTTATGCCGGGAATAATCCTCTTTTATTGCAGTAATGGAGTAATTATGCTGTTTTTGAGTTAAATGCAGTATTTGGGTAATTATCTCCCTTAACATTTAGTGATTACCTGTTCATTTACTTTTTTCCTGCAGTATTTGAGTAATTACACCCCCCCCCCTTTAGTTACAGTATATGAGTAATTATCTCCCATTACTTGCAGCACACACATACTGTTATGTTATGTTTTAATTTGACTAATATGGTTGTAGAATCAATATTTCTTAATGCTTTGAATCAAATTTTATTATTGCACATTAATTCACTGCCACACTCTTTCCATGGTCCTTGTTTAGCTGTTGAATATATTTGTTAACTCCACTCTTATCTCTTTGGAGATTGTATTATTATTTAATGAAGTGCTGTATTTTATTTTATATGCTAATGTATTATGTATATTACTTATTTCATAGCTAATGTTGAAATGTAATGTATATAATTTTATATATGAAGCAATGTATTTGGTGAAGATGTGTATCTTGATAGTTTGATATTGATACATTATCTTGTACTGTAACATCTGGGTTTAAATTGACTGATTTATTATTTCTTTGGTTCATCCTTTTTTCTCATAAAATTTATTTTAGTGATTTTTCTTATAAACTGGGCATTTTCCAAAAATAAAAATTTATTTCTTAACACCTAGGGGAGGTTACTTCAAATTCTTGTTTGGAATTATTTTCAAGTGCTTAATTTCTTTGCTTTTATTAACACTTTTTGTGATTTCACTCAGCTTCAAGTTCTGATAGTTATCAGCTTTGTCAGTAAGCAGGCTGTCAGATTTAGCAATTTGTCATTACAAAGTTTATCCTACTTGTCAGTCAGCCGACTTTTATTTGGAGTAGTCAGACAAAATTACTTTGTCAGTCAGGCAAAACCTGGATCAGTAATTTGTCAGATATAGTACAGAGTACTTGTCAGTCTGCCAGTAAGTAGCTGAAAATACTTTATCTGACAAATTACTTGTCATTTCACCTGACAAAGTATTTGTCAGTAAGCAATCATTTGTCAGATAGTTGTAATAACATTCTACTGAAAATGTAAAATAAAAATGGCATTCATTAATACATTTTGTGGGTGTTCACTTTTTGTGTTTGACTGATATTTTCACCTTAATGTAGTCATGTTTATGCATCAATTTTATTTGTGCATGCATCATTTGTGAAATATACATATAATCTTCATGAAATTATGAATGGAACATTTCTGTAACACCCCTTTTAGATAGACATTTATGTTTTATTATGCAAAAAGACCAGTTATTGTGTTCACTTGACCTTGAATTTCTCCTAAATAGATCAAGATAGTTCTTAGTTTTAGAGTAAGCCTTATATTTGAGCCAATTGTTAACCATTTATGCAAAACAATGAGTGTGCTGTTTCAGCTGAAGTGCACTTGCTAAATGTCTATATTTAGGGGTTTTACTGAAATGAGCCACGTCACGACAAAACCAACATAATGGGTTTGCGACCAGCATGGATCCAGACCAGCCTGCGCAGTCTGATCAGGATCCATGCTGTTCGCTATTAGTTTCTTTACTTGTTATAGGGTCTGTAAGCAAACAGCATGGATCCTGATCAGACTGCGCGGATGCGCAGGCTGGTCTGGATCCATGCTGGTCGCAAACCCAATTTGTTGGTTTTGTTGTGACACGACTCAAATGGTTCCAATAAATGCTTCAGTTATCTAAATATTCATAGCTCAGTTGCAACATTGTATGTACATGTTATTAGTAGTCAGTTTATTTTCTCAGTTGTAAGTGTACATTTTATTCCCAATCATTTTTTTGCATTAGTAATTTATTGTTAGCAGGGTTTTAATACACTAGTGTACAATCTGAATCTATAATTATGTCATTTTTTGCAAAAATAAAAACATTTACTTAGATGATATATCTTGTTGTAGTTTCTATAACCATACAGTTTGTGTGCCTTGGGTGTTTTTTATGCAATTTGTATTCACATTTTTTGGTCATATCTCAAAAAATCCACCTAATTGGCTATGCTGGATAACTAACCAGTAATTAGTCCCCTACCGGTTTACCGGAGGGGACTTTAGGTTTACCGTCTGTCCGTCCGTCCGTCTGTCTGTCAGTCCGTCCGTCCGTCCACAAAACTGGATCCCGCGATAACTTGAAAAGTGCTGAAAATATTTTTATGAAACTTGATATATGGATAGATGGCAGTATGGAGATTATGCACGTCTTTTTCTTTTCTTCCTATGTTGAAAATTCTGGTTGCTATGGCAACAAATAGGCTGAAAATATGGCAAATTTTACACATAAACTGGATCCAGTGATAACGCAAAAAGTACTGGAAATATTTTTATGAAACTTGATATATGGATAGATGGCAGTATGGAGATTATGCACGTCTTTTTCTTTTCTTCCTATGTTGAAAATTCTGGTTGCTATGGCAACAAATAGACTGAAAATATGGCAATTTTTACACATAAACTGGATCCTGTGTTAACGCAAAAAGTGCTGAAAATATTTTTATGAAACTTGTAATATGTGTAGATGGCAGTCTGGAGATTATACACGTCTTTTTATTTTCTTCCTATGTTGAAAATTCTGGTTGCTATGGCAACACATAGACTGAAAATATGGCAAATTTTACACATAAACTGAATCCAGTGATAACTCAAAAAGTACTGGAAATATTTTTATGAAACTTGACATGTGGGTAGATGGCAGTCTTGAGATTATGCATGTCTTATCTGTTCTTCCTATTTTGAAAAAATATTGGTTGCCTTGGCAACAACTAGGCTTAAAACATGGCAAATATAACAATATTTGTGATTAGTCAAAAAGAGCTGAAACTTTTTATGAAATTGCATCTTTAATTCCAGAGTTATCTCCTCTTTAAGAATTTTGCTTTTTAAAATGTTATATTTTGGTAACAGGGATGTTTCAAATATTAACTTTAGAGTGTCCTTCAGTCCGTCTGTTCATAAAAACTTTTTCCTGTGATCACTTTTTAAGAACATTTCCAACAAATTTACTTAAAATAGAGAAAAATTTACACATTAGTGAAAGGCCAATGGCCCTTCAGAATGCTGATGGGGTTCTATCCAGTAGGGGACTTATGGATTGCTTGCAATACTATGATAATTGCTTGTTTCTTATTTCTTGCGGGTGATCATCCACTAATCTCACATGATTTCTGGATTAGCTGTGAGGGTCAAATGACAATCAGACTTGTTGTCAGAGATCAATTCTATAAAGAAATGTGTGCCTTATGTTGAACAAGCAACCCTGGAGGTTCTTTAACATCATTGTGTTGTGAGAAAGCTAACTGGTGAAAGCATAACTGTGCCTGGAATTATACAGGGATGGGTACCTGAAGACTGCGCATCAATAAATCTGGGAAGTTATCTCAAGACCTTTACATTTAGCACCCTTTTACTGAAAAATTTCTCCACTGAGAAGCCAACTGCCAATATTTACTTCAAAGTTCAAGAAAATAACTTAGAAGTGACAGTCTAATACGATATCAAGATTAGCTTGTATTCTTCAATGGTCAAATCCTCATGACTGTATTGACTTAGTACAGTGAGTGTAAGATCTACTGACCTCAAGTTCCAGCAATATGTTACACTTTGACATATTTGGGATAAGTTTTTTGTCATGTCATAAGTTTATCTCATATATTTATGTTCATAAGCAAGCAAGTGAATGGAACCACACATGCTTTAGTGTAGATAAACAAAAAATCATAACTCGGTACAAGAGTAGAACCACAAAATAGTCATAAGCTAGGACAAGAGCAGAATCACAAACATTCTTAAACTAGCAATAGAGAAAAACTTAAAACATTCATAAAATAGCACTAGAGTTGAACCACAAATGTTTATAAGCTAACACCAATATAGATCCTCAATGTTCATAAGCTAGCTTGATATCCTTCATAACATGAAAGAGTCCAAAGTCCAAGGTGGAATTCATACCAACAGCAGTGAGGGGCAGGACATTTGAATTTAGCAACTTCAACCATTGGTCATGAAACATCAATAAATGAGCCGTGCCATGACAAAACCAACATAATGGGTTTGCGACCAGCATGGATCCAGACCAGTCTGCTCATCCGTTCAGTCTGATCAGGATCCATGCTGTTCGCTTACCAACCCTATTACAAGTAGAGAAACTGATAGCGAACAGCATGGATCCTGATCAGACTGCGCAGATGCGCAGGCTGGTCTGGATCCATGCTGGTCGCAAACCCATTATGTTGGTTTTGTCGTGACGCGGCTCAAATCTAAGGTTTTATCAAATATAACAAAGTAGTGTCATCTTGTAAAATCATTTTATTGTACAAAAGTACTTTTATATATGTAAAAAAGAGGTGAAATATATTACAATATAAAGATGTGTCAGATGTGTGACCATTCTAAAATGATAAAATATATAATCTGTAAGGTTATCTGTAAAATAATTTAAATTTACAGTAACATTTAACCCTCATGATTAATAGTAGTAAAAGGATGGTTGGTGACATTTTCAGTGCAATGACAAAAATAAACAGAAAAAAGATGTATCAAGATTTTTTTTCGTGATTTTTCCATGACCAATTAATCTTTCAAGACGCAAAATAATCTTAAGTGCCCATTCAAGCATAAATGGTGATTTCATATGTAAAAATAAAAATACCTTGACATTTGTCATAATTGTGAAAAAAAAAAATTTTACTATGAAAAAAAAATCAATAATCAACATGACCAAAAATTTCAGGCAGTACCTGTAACAGTAACTAAAAAGTGTGGGGCAGTCTTTTCTATAATTTAGGTATTTTTTTATATTGTATCATATACATTTTTTCATTATCAATTTTTGCTCAGTCACTTTTGAAATATATTAAGTGTACTAATTCATCTCAACTTGACAATGAAAAAATGTGCATTATGTCACTTAAAAAAGGTACATGCAGCTGTTACTTGGTTGAATTTATGTTTTAAAAACCCACTTACATAACATCATGTTCTTATATATAAATGATAACTTAAAAATGTAATTTAAGATGGCAATAAACTATAGAGTATATACACAAAATGACATGTGTTTTAACTGATAAAGAAATAAAAACATTTCTAAAACATCATCATAAAAGCACACCTTTTAAGTTCATGTAAATTTTGAATATAGGAATGTAATGAGACAAAAACACACATATTTCATAGAAATAAAATTTCAAAACTTTTAATATGGTGTTCATGTATAAGTATATCAATTATATACATTACTGGCTAAAACCCTCATGAAAATGAAAAAAGATGTGAAAACCTGTATAACTGAACAATTTTCAAACATTAAGGGTTTTCAGGATGAAATCTAAAAGTAAACAGATAAAACTAAGCGTAAACGTCATGTATTTATTCCAAGACGTTGACCTTTACATTCTAAGTTACTTTAATGCTCTAAGGTCATTTTTCATTGTTTAGTACAATACTGAATTCTAGTAGACCAGTATACAGCTGTCAAACCTATATTGGATTAGGCGTTATCTGAGTCCAATAAAGACTTCCCAGCCGTGTACAAGTTAATCGGTCCCCAGAAGTAATATTTTGTTCTCTAGATAAACTTATGAGTAATATCCTTTCCATATCATTTTCTTTTCAATATTTTTTGCAGTTCCACTACTCCTAGTCAAAACTTTGATTTAATTCTCAATTTAAAAATCAGAATATCTTAATAAATTTCTGTGCATTGCTAGATTGCAATCTACCTCCAGATTAGAAGATGGATGAAGATGCATTTACCTTCCAGCCTTGCATTAACACAAGTCTAGCTAGGGATAACAAGAAACTAGGTAAATTTCCTGAATAATTTCTGCAGAATTCATTATCATATCAGATTTTCAAATCTAAAACGTTAATTTCAAGACATTTTCTTTAAGTAATTATTCATGTAGGCAATTCTATGTCCATAGCTGAAATAGTTACCATGCATAATATTCATTACAATTCAACATTGTATGACGTCTCATACCTCAATATATCAAGTTATTATATGATGTTTTGTGATGAAGCATCAATGTCTTTAATAATCTATTGCACTAATTACAAAGTGACAAAGTTAAGAACAAAATGACAGCTGATATAAATGAGCTGCATCATGACAAAACATAATGCGTTTGTGACCAGCATGGATCCAGACCAGCCTGTGCATCCGCGCAGTCTGATCAGGATCCATGCTGTTCGCTTACAAACCCTATTACAAGTAGAGAAACGATAGCAAACAGCATGGATCCTGATCAGACTGCGCGGAGGCGCAGGCTGGTCTGGAATCATGCTGGTCGCAAACCCATTATGTTGGTTTTGTCGTGACACGGCTCAAATGATATGAAACAGAAGACAAAACAGAATAATAATTATATGGAAGGTTTAATCTGAATGTCAATTAAATTAACCCCAAAAATCATTTATTCACAAACTTGTATTGTTACAAGGTATAAAATATAATAATTACTGTACTCCCATCCTTAATTCTAAAATGTAGATTGTTTTTTAAATAAAAATATTCTCGTACTTAAAACATACAAATTTATACAAATAAGAATTTTGTCTTTTAATGGCACAGATTACATGTATTATGTACACACAGAAAGAAATGAACATACAATACTATGCTACAGTAGTTCAAAATAAATCATCACCATCAACACTGGCATACATTTATGCCAAACACAGGCATAAACATTATTTTTAACTAAAGCGTATAGCCTTTCATTATTCTGAACTTCGAATATTTAGCTCATTTTAGGAAGAACTCATTTTATTCATTAACCAGGCTTATGCCAACTTCAGTTATGTACAAATTTTACAAAAACATGACCAAGACCTCAAAAGGTTTAAAACCTGACTCATGGTTTCTAAACTTTCCATGGTGAAAATAAAGACTACTTAACCTTTATAACTGTGTAATGAACTTGCTTTAAATTTGAATTTGGATTAGCCTATTTATATTGTATGGAATATTAAAATCAAAATAATAAAACTGAGTTACCAACAGTATAGAAACTTGTCAGTCTTCTGGACATTAAGCCCCGGATATGTCACAAGTCTTGCCCTTAAAGTTGAAATTATGAAGCACAAAGTGGTGATAATTTACTTCCGTGCAATTTTCACAGAGTATTAGCCACGGATATGAATTTTGAGCCAAAAGTAGGTCACTGTACAGCAGTCAATGAGCACCTAAACATACAATAACCTGAGACAACAAGAAAAGGTAAGGTTGCCTTGATATGACTGTTTGTGCCAAGCAAAGGGTTGTCTTCCAAACTGTCACTTCATACTAGGGGCTCACTCACACTGTTACCCTTCCTTGTCGTCACTGCCTACTTTATGATGATGAAAGGATGAGCAAGGTGACATGACTTTATACTAGCGGCACAAACAGATAACCACTTGTTGTCATTCTCATGAAGTACATTTCAGACAAGATTATCTCTTTAGCCTAGAACTACATGTAATGACCTTATGAGGTTGTTTCTCTAAACTTAAAATCAACCTTTTGAAATATTATGCACTTTGAATTGAACTAACTACTGAGAAAACATTTTGAAAGATAATATAATTACAATAAAATCTGTATCAGGAATTTAGAGTTCTATTTTATACAAATTTTACGAAAAATATGACCTTCATTAAATTTACAATTAGATAAAATATAGATTAATGACAAAATGCATGATTTTCACAGTACACCAACTTTTAAACCTGTTTTGACATGAACATTTGTCCTTGAATGAATTCAGAGAAACTATCAACACAAAATCTTTCTTTTAAAAAATGAAAGTTTGCTAACATGAAATCATGTAAGTAATATTGAAAATGTCTAAAATACAATGTTCTTTATACGCGACACATGACATATAAAAACTCCTTATCAATTTGCATAGAAAAATTACTAATAAAAAATAGTTGGAAAAATTTGATAAAAATATGTATTAAATGTTTTCTTTATACACAAAGAGATCATTGAAAATACATGTATGTGTAAAAACAGCACTAACTTTCTTAACAGATGGTGTTGGTGCCATTTGACAATATAACACCTAGTTTGTCAACATAAATATTATATACCTATATCTTAAGTATAATTGATACTGTTTTCGATTTCTATGGTAACTTTCCATATGTCAAGGTACATGCAAGAAACCCCCTGCAGACAGTATTTTAGGCAGGAGATGTTACCTTGGTAACCCTCCGACAGCAAACTGGATAAAATCTGATTCCAATTCAAAGATACCAGAACTTCTCGCTTGAAATGTACCGTGTTTTTAGGGTTACAAATCATAAATGCAAATTGAGTCATATAATATAGGTCATAAACCATACAGCACATATTCAACATTCAAAAAATAAACTATTTTCTTTAAAAACAACAACAACATAATTCTTTAACAATCACATTGTTCTGTAAATTCAGAAAGTAAAATTTAAGTAAGTTATCAATTAATTTTCTCTTTTTTTTCCTGTGGAAACATATTACATTAGTTCATTATATTTTTGTGAAGTCCCTTAAACCTATGATCAAATTATAATAAAAAATTGCATTCATGAATGACAAACTTAATTACAATATGACAAACAGTTTAAAAAATTTTCAGTGAATGTTTACTACTCTTTATTACTAACCTAGGATTATAATTAATGTTTTGGAATATTGCAGCACTTTTCCATCTAATATTATCATAATATATTGTGGAATAAAATAAATTTTAACACCCTTTTCAAAACTGGCTGCCATTTTGGAAGTGAAAACTCAAGAACTCCAAAAGAGACAGTTAAAAATGATTTAGAAATAAGCAAATAAAGAATCCAAGGTAAAAATCAAAACAAAGAATTCAATTTACACATAATTCAAGAACTGCCACATAATTTCATGAAACTACAAGAAATTTGTATGTAATCATAGCAGATTTTATATGAACAAAAAACAAATCAAAATGGACAGGCAGGACTATGCATATACAAAATTTTCATGTAACTATAACAGAATTTATATGAAAAGAAAATACCAAAAACGACCTACAAAATGAACAGAGGAGATAATGCATAAATGAAATTCCTATGTAATTGAAGCAGAATTTATATAAAAATGAACCATAAAAACTGGAAAGGGGAGATAATGCATAAACATAACACATCCAATGCAAGCTGTGATTAAGGCTCAGAATGTGATGGTAGTAAAATTCTGTCTTTTATTGCATTGTTCATTTTTGGTGCTTCGTGTATTACAGGTGTGGATGCTGGCAAGTATGAACGTGGCTGTGGGGCATTGTGATGAGAACCCATATAGTAGCCAGCATTTGACCGTTCAGGTGTCTCTGTAGCATACTGAAAATTGTTAAAATATACTGTACTTGTGTTAAAATATATACGGTACCTGTGTTAAAATATATACGGTACATGTATTTCAATGACTAAACTTAAAGTTAATAAAGCGATATATATACAGAGCCTCTGTACTGTACTTTACAAAATTGTTTGAATTTTAAATAGATTAATTAAAAATGGGTCAAAGATAGAAAAGGCCGGGTTGCATTTGTATACCAAATATCATGAGGCTGCGATGTTACAAAAAATGTTTACCATTGACCATTAATGTCAAAAATTTAACTAAGTCGGTAAACAGGAAGTGGATGAGCGACAGACCTGAAATCAAATCCCACAGTTTGGGACCATGAGGCAATGCTGTATGCTAAATATCAAGAAGCCTTGATAAGTAGTTGCTGCGAAAACTGTTACAAAAATTTCCTCCTACCATTGACCATTAATGTCGGAAATTAAACTAAGTAGATAAACAGGAAAAGGATGAGTGACAGATTTGAAATCTAATCCCACCGTATGCAACACTGTGTCAATGCTGTATGCCAAATATCAAGAGGCTGTGATGAGTAGTTGCTGAGAAAACTGTTACGAAAATTTCCTACCACTGACCATTAATGTCGAAAATTTAACTAAGTTGTTAAACAGGAAGTGGATGAGCGACAGACCTGAAACCAAATCCCACAGTATGGGACCATGTGTCAATGCTGTATGCCAAATATCAAGAGGCTGTGATAAGTACTTACTGAGAAAACTGTTACGAAAATTTCCTACCATTGACCATTAATGTTGAAAATTTAACTAAGTCGATAAACAGGAAGTGGATGAGCGACAGACCTGAAATCAAATCCCACGGTATGGGACCATGTGTTGATGCTGTATACCAAATATCAAGAGGCTGTGATAAGTACTTGCTGAGAAAACTGTTACGAAAATTTCCTACCATTGACCATTAATGCTGAAAATTTAACTAAGTCGATAAACAGGAAGTGGATGAGCGACAGCCCTGAAATAGAATCCCACGGTATGGGACCACGTGTCAATGCTGTATGCCAAATATCAAGAGGCTGTGATGAGTAGTTGCTGAGAAAACTGTTACGAAAATTTCCTACCATTGACCATTAATGTTGAAAATTTAACTAAGTTGGCAAACAGGAAGTGGATGAGCGACAGACCTGAAATCAAATCCCACGGTATGGGACCATGTGTTGATGCTGTATACCAAATATCAAGAGGCTGTGATAAGAAGTTGCTGAGAAAACTGTTACAAAAGTTTTTCCCCGCCCGCCCGCCGCCCACTGCCCGCCCGCCGCCCGACATTCACCATACTATAACCCGGGTTTGCACCAGTGCAACCCGACCAAAAATGCAAGTATGAAAGAATTATGCTTGTAGATCTCTTAAAAGTGAATGGTACATGCAAGAAATTGTTGCTTAAATGTTCAAGCCAAAGTTAAAATAGCAAAATAATATTATATTCAGAAAGTTTAATTCTGTTTACATACAATATTTATGTAACAAAAACAATTCTTAGGAGAGTCAACCATAAGCTTATAGAAACAAGTTATTTTACTTTTTATAGCTTTTATAGAAATGTTTCAATATTAAAAAACAAGAGGGCCATGATGGCCCTGAAGTCGCTCACCTGTATATAGGCCCCCAGAGTGGGGCCAGTTTAACCCCCAGGGCTTTTATTCGAACAAACTTGGTAGACACCCGTTAGAAGATGTTTCATGCTAAACATCTACGGTCTTGCTCGTTGGGTTTTTTAAAAGAAGATTTTTTAAGTTTTTTCTTTACATATATATTTAAAAACAATGACACCCCTAGAGCAGGGCCAGTTTTGACCCCAGGGCTATTATTTGAACAATCTTTGTAGACACTTACTAGAAGATGTTTCATGCTTAATATCTAAACTCTAGCCGTTTTTTTTTTTCGAAGAAGATTTTTAAGTTTTTGCTATACACATTTAAGGAAAATTATTGTCCCCCGGGGCTAGGCCAATTTTGACCCCAGGGCTCTGATTTGAACAAACTTGGTAGACATCTATTAGAACATATTTCATGCTAAATATCTTAGCTCTAGCTCTTTGGGTTCTTTAAAAGAAGATTTTTAAGTTTTTACTATATTCATATAGGGAAAATCAATGACCCCCTGGGGCAGGGCCAATTTTGACCCTAGGGCTTTTATTTGAATAAACTTGGTAGACACCCATTAGAAGATGTTTCATGCTAAATATCTTAGCTCTAGCTCTTTGGGTTCTTTAAAAGAAGATTTTTAAGTTTTTACTATTTTCATATAGGGAAAATCAATGACCCCCTGGGGCGGGGCCAATTTTGATCCCAGGGCTTTTATTTGAACAAACTTATTAGACACCCACTAGAAGATGTTTCATGCCAAATATCTAAGATCTAGCTCTTTGGGTTTCTAAGAAGAAGATATTTAAAGTTTTTTCTTTCGGTTGCCATGGCAACCAGAGTTCTGCATGGAATTAAATTCTTTGAACAATTTTCAAAGGTGACCACCAAAGGAACATTCCTGTGAAGTTTGGATGAAATTGGCTTAGTGGTTTATGAGGAGATGTCATTTAAAGTAAAAGTTTACGGACGCGGGACGGACGCCGGACGAAAAGCGATCACAAAAGCTCACCCTGTCATAAAGTGACAGGTGAGCTAAAAAAAAGAACAGAGTATTAAATGCCTCAAAATTAAAGATATGAATAGAATGATATTAAAATGGATTTTTGTTTTCAGCATGCTTTTAATGTGGATTTTTTTTATATACATAATGAACACAATTTACTTAAAAATATTTGTTCAGCAAAAATGTCAAACATTTTGCAAAATGTATTTAAATGTTTTTTGACAAGGTTTTTCAATTAAGATGCCTGGATCATGAATAAGATGTCTTAATCATAGTTTAAGCCATACTGAAGACGTAACCAATTGTTTCCTTATTTATTACACCAGTACTGATATGTTTCCAAAGCTAAAAACTTGCAAATTGGCATATTTGTACATCAAAAGCTTGAAATAAGATTTTTATGACACTCAAGGTAATAATGAGAATGTATTTAATATCTAGAATTACCTGTAAAGCATTTGCATGGTAAGCACTTTTTGTAGGTGACATAAATGGTGGTTCATGGCCCCTTGACTCCTGGATTCCCTGAGCTGTTCTCCATGACATATCTTGTAAACCTGGTGTAAAACATAAATATACTTTAATAATTTAAATAAATAACTTAACAGTAAATGCACCGTCATTTTTAAACAAAAAGAAAACATTTTTAAATTCTTTTTATTCTTTATTTTTTGGTTGAGTTTTACATTGCACCAACACTGTTTGGGTCAGATGGCAACTTTCCAGCTATACTGGTGAAGGAATAGCTCAGGTGCCCCTTTTGCATTATTTCAGGCACAAAATAGCACTCAGTATAACCACCCATGTATAGTAAGCTAGCAAGATAGCTTCCTCACATGAAAGAATCCAAGTCTGTGTAGGGATTCAAACCAACAGCAGTGATGGCTACACAATCTGTTATCTAGAGAGAATAATAAACAATAGATTTCATCTATGACAGAAGGTGATATTACATTACATTCTTCAAGGCTTAATCTTAATGGCACCTTACTAAATAAGGAAAACCTTACAAGCTCATTTTCACAAATTCTTACATGTGAGATTTAATGTAAAGCTAGCCTATTGAAAGCTAAACAATACTCAGGTTTTGATATTGAGGAAGATCAAATGTACCAGAGAAGTCACCAATCATCTTTAATCTAGACACATGATTATTTTAACACAAAGGAATTCAGCAAATAAAAGACACAAATGTCAAATTCCATAGATCAAGATTAAGGTGAAGGTCAAGGGATTCCTCATACAAACCTTCAATACCATGGTCAAAGAGTTACCCCAAGTAGTTTTATTTCAGAATATATTGAACTACATTTTGTATATGATTTTTTTATGACCATCTTACTTTTTACATGAAATCTTACCACCAACAGCTAAACAAGATACTTACTAGGATTAGGAGCATCTGGGAGCTCATCTTGTGTAGCTTTAGTGGTTATTCTAGTTATAGTTTTTCTAGTAACCTGTGTGCTAGAGTCTGGGGGAGGGTCAGTGGGATCTCTCCTCGCATCAGTCCACACCACCTGTGATGTTTTAACACCAGAAAGCGGGTCCTCATCATACCTTACGAGAGAAGTACCTGGTTCTGGTAGCCTTGGGTCATCAAGAATTGTCCCTGCTGGTACCATAGACATGTCATTTGGTCCCGGTCTTCTATTTGAATTTTGGTTGTAAGGAGTGGATGTATAGTTAGGGGCAAGGTTATCCCTCATGCTGTCGTCACTTTGACTGTGGGTTGTCATGGCAAAGGCCATTTTGTGTTGACCATTAGGATTTGCTTCGACATACCACTGGGCTTGACCGGCCTGCTGATATGGCATGCCAGGTGGATACCCAGGCATATTTGGTTGGTAAGGTCCCATTGGATATCTGGGATCAAATGGTACGGCAGGTTGATAGTTGCCTTGGTAACCAGGCTGGTACTGATGTGCGGCATCCTGGGCCTGTTCATCATCTGAGAATATTGGAGCATAAAGCTCTGGTGGCACTTCATCATCTTCAACATTGTTAGATTTTGAATCAGGTGATTTGGATAGATTGTCCTCATTATTGTCTTTACTTGACTTCTTGCTTTTTCTAGGTGATTTGGGAGATTTTCTCTCCTTAGAACTTTTTCTTTTCTTTTTTTTAGGTTTTGGGGAAGAGTGAGCATCTGGACCAGTCATCTCACCATCAGTTTGTTTGTTTAATGCAGCACTACTACTAAATTCAGACGATTCCTCTTGAGTTTCCTTACCTGACAAACCCTGACCATCACTATCTGTTTGATTCTCAGACTTTTGCCGTCTTAAGCTCACACGCTTTATAGCTGATTGAAGCTCCGATGCGAAATCCTGAGTTTTTGGTTTTGAATCGTTTTCACTGTCACCAGCAAGTTTTTTAACATGTTCATAATCATACATATATCCTTCTTTATCTGGATTTACAAAAACACCCGCGGAATTTCTCTTCTTATCTCCATCATTATCAGCACCAAAAGTACCTTTGCCCCTCAATAACCTTTGACCAGAGGTTAAATTTGTTTCTCGCTCCAGGTCATTAATTGTATGATATGTGTCTTTATTATTGTCAAAATTTTGATTTTTGTCTGGTGGTCGAATTTCATTACGACCTCTAATCCTTGTAGTAGGTGAATTAGACAACTGATTGGGGTCAAGTCTCTGAAAACTTTTTGTATTATTATCCCTTCTATTATTATCATATGGTGACGAAACACCTTTGTCACCAGTAAAATTGTTCCTTCCAACTGGTCTTATATTATCTTTCTTTGTATTATTTGCATTCACACTAGTCAATGACTCCCAAATTCTCGAATCATCCAAGTCGAAATTGCTTCTTGAGTCAATATTTTTCCCCTCTGTATTATGCCATGCCACGAATCCTCCATTTTTGGAGGCAGCAGTATCGAGGGCATCTGATCGAGATAAGTTTTCAGTGCTAGCTTTAACAGTGGGTGCAGGATAGTCGTAAGGATTCAGGCCTGGTAGTCGACCATTTTTGTAGCACCAGCCGAGAAGAATGGCTGCAGCTATTATTACAATTACACCAAGAACTATACCAATAATAGCTCCAGCCGGGAATTTATATGTTCCGATATACTCATCGGCACCCTCACTGTCATCTGTGGGAAAAATATTAAGGATTATGAATAAGTGTAAGTTCAATACTGAAGTTGAATAAAAATCAAATTAGTAAGCCTCTGGCTCAATGAATTGAATAAATTTTGTAACAAACCTACATCAATATAATATTCTATTTATCACATACGTAAACTATTTACAGTAAAAAAATCATTTTCTCACTGATGCATATATAAAGTAACACTTACATTTTAAAAGTGATTTTATGCTATGTTTGTATAACATGAAGTCATGTTATTTCACTAGTTATTTCACTAGTGTAATATTGTTTTTTATTGAATGGCTTAAATTACATTTCTGCACATAAATTACATTTATGTGATGCATAGTTAAGTACATGTATATATATAAGAGAACAATAACGATAAAGTTCATAATTTGTTTCTTTTGTAAATCATGGATTAGTTTTAAGTTAAACAATATTTTCAAAGTTTATTACTATTCCAGTAAATGCATATCTAACATTTACTCAAAAGCAAAACTGTTCTCTATTATTATGATAATAGAAAATATACCAGTTGCAAAGAGAAACAATCAATTATCATAGTATTGCAAGCAATCTATAAGTTCCCTGTCGGTTAGAACCCCAGCAACATTCTGAAGGGCCATTGGCCATTCACTAATGTTTCAATTTTTCTCTATTTTAAGTAAAGTTGTTGGAAAAGTTCTTTAAAAGTGATCACAGGAAACAGTTTTTATGAACAGACTGACAGACGGACTGAAGGACACTCTAAAGTTAATATTTGAAACATCCCTATTACCAAAATATAACATTTTTAAAAGCAAATTCTTAAAGAGGAGATAAGTCTTGAAAATTTAATAAAGATGTAATTTCATAAAAATTTTCAGCTCTTTTTGACTAATCACAAATATTGTTATATTTGCCATGTTTTAAGCCTATTTGTTGCCATGGCAATCAATTTTTTCAAAATACATGTAGGTAGAAAAGATAAGACATGCATAATCTTCAGACTGCCCATTGCCATATGTCAAGTTTCATAAAAATATTTCCAGTACTTTTTGAGTTATCACTGGATTCAGTTTATGTGTAAAATTTGCCATATTTTCAGTCTATTTGTTGCCATAGCAACCAGAATTTTCAACATAGGAAGAAAAGAAAAAGACATGCATAATCTCCAGTCCAGTGCCATCTACCCATATTTCAAGTTTCATAAAAATATTTCTGGTAATTTTTGCGTTATCACTGGATCCAGTTTATGTGTAAAATTTGCCATATTTTCAGTCTATTTGTTGCCATAGCAACCAGAATTTTCAACATAGGAAGAAAAGAAAAAGACATGCATAATCTCCATACTGCCATCTACCCATATTTCAAGTTTCATAAAAATATTTTCAGTACTTTTTGTGTTATCGCGGGATCCAGTTTTGTGGACGGACTGACAGACGGACGGATGGACGTACTCACAAAATGATACTTATGTGACTTTTCCTTTGATCTTTTTGGCCATTTTTAGTCACACAAGGCTTAAAAAAATACACACAAGTAAAAAAGGATCAAAGAACAAAGAAAATTTACTGTCACCCATTGTTCTCCAAGTCACACAATCATGTACCTCTGGGTTCGTACAAACAGACAGCCAGACGGACGGAGGGTAAACCTAAAGTCCCCTCCGGTAAACTGGTAGGGGACTACTAAGGATACTTTCTTTATAATGCTCATTTAGAAATTAGAATAGATATAATGTTGTACAAGAAAACTTTGTTTGTCTGGTTTAAATGTTTGGTTATATGTTGCACCAAAACAGTTTACGTCATGTTTTGTCAAAATACAAGAAAGTAAAACTTTAACTTTATGCTGATGCCTTCACCAGGTGAGCAGGATAGCCCCAACATATTTTGAATAGTCAAGCTAAAATAACAAACTTGTGAGGAAGAATTTAAGCACAATTTGAAGATCTAATCAAACTTACAGTAAAGCTGTATTTTGAGCTGGAAATCACTCCCGAAGAAATACTGGTTCTGAGTTCGAGTCAACATGAGAGACATTGCCCTGTCCTTTGAATAGAACTGTGCAGTAGAGGTTGTTGAACCACAGCCCAATACTCGCTGAAATGACATACAATAATTATCAAACATGGCATTATTCCCTTCTGTAACTGGAGATAATCCTAGGCCACACAGCAAAACACTTTACAATAATAAAACTGTTCCTTTTTGTTGTTTAAGCTAAAATGATGACAGCTTTGCTAGTATTGGTTCCCCTTAACAATTTGGACCAATAATACTCTTTCTTCTAAAATAACATGAAGTTAATTATGATACGGGACTTCTATGACAGTTTCATTAAAGCTGTTGACTTAAAATAATATAATACTCCTTAACACTTTTGAGTTTTAGCCTTGCCCCAGACTAAAAGGAAGCTTTCCAATAACTACGATTCTGTGACATCCTTAAGACTCTTATTATATTAACAGCGGCAACCTGGATCTTTCCCTACAGTACTGCTTACAATTTGCTTTAATTTTGATATAACCTGTAAAGGGACTATATTAAACTATATTGTAATAACTCAAGGATTAAATGAGAACTAAATATTTCTAACCAGGTAATTGCCACCAGTGCCCTTGCCATCAAATATACGTAACTGAAGACCACAGTCACGAAATGAAGCCGCTTCTACCACAATTTCAAACTTGTAGTTCGAACTCGCTTGACTGGACTCAAAGTACACAACACAGTTTGTTGTAGGGTTAGATACACCAACTGTACCTCGTGGTTTTACACGAAACACTTCTCGATCACCTGCTGCGAATGTTTTACCGCATGCTGTAGGGGAATCCATAAACACTGAAAAATATTATTTCTTGTATGAAGCTGTGTTATATATGATAATTTGATTATGCAAAATAAAATGTTACAAGTTTGAAGAACATGAGAACATAAACAAACAAGCCAAACAAATATTTATTAATGTATAGTTTATTTATCATTTATATGGTTTGAAGCACAAAACCTTTAGTAGATTCAGAATGTTATACTGTCTATATTAACACCCTTTATTAACACCTTTTTTTTTTGAAGCAGTTATAACTTTTATGACAAATAGCTTCAAAAACTTAAACTGATAGGTTCAATAATTGCCTAAAAATACGACCATCTACAATGTATTTCTTAAACAAACTTTGTTTAAAATGGATAAATTTAAATGAATGTTTAAATTTTAGCTATAAGCCTATTGAAACCCTCTAGAATCCGTACTTATCAATGAATCTAAAGTTTCTTGCTCAAGGAAACAACGGCTTGCCCGGCTGACAGAATTTGAACCCATGCAGTCAGCAATCCTAAGATTACTAGTCTGATGCGCTAACCACTCGGCCACGCCCCAATTTTAGTAGTATATTTCTGGTGATAAAAGAATTATTTGAAATAACAGCATTATTGTGCTTTAAGAATATGACACTTACAGTCTCTGGTCTGAGCCTTGACTTCCCATGATATCATAATCATCAGCAAGATAAAGAAATTATTCTTCCTGCGTGACATGGTCTACTAAATAAAAAAGTAAAACATAGTATATAAAACTGATTGGCATGTTATTTTATATGTTTCAGTATGTGTAGACAAATCTGCATCTCAGGCAATGCGAATCACATCCTTTAATTTTTATTCATCAATAAAAACAAAATGCTCCATTCCTACTGCTTACATAATAGACAAAAGAATCATTTGATGTACGTTTTAAAAAAACAACAGGATCTACATTTTTATATGTTTCGAGTGATCCAGAACGACTTGAATGACAAGTTGTTTAGATCTATAACCTTTGTTTTACATGAAGTCATTCATATTTTCAAATGACATTTTTTTGTCGTTATAATAACTGTTTTATGTTTGTCTATATATTTTTCTAATTAATAAATTTAACTTTTTTTCTTGTTGATTTCTATTTTTTCTTGATCAGTATTAAATGTCAAGATTTCCAGAAAACTTTCGTAAACAGTGTGACAATTCTGGGATATTTAGAAGAGAAAAGAAATGACACCTGTTACTATTAGATTACATGTATATGAATCATGTTACAACCTAAAGCACTCCAAAAATATTGCAAAAATAACGCTTTTCATAAGGTGATTCCGATTGCCTACACTGACTGTATCATTAAAGTTTTATAAATAATAATATGTACTGTATATAAAGTCATGATATGTATCCATAAATTGGCACTTAAATTGTACCCAGACTGATCAATATGTAAAAAAGTTGTAAACAAATGAACAGCTGAAAAGTGTTTTTTGACAATTTTAACTCTATTATCAAAAGTTTACCTTGATCATTTATTTAATTTCATTCAGGTAAGTTACCTTTTTACAATGTTTTATATCTCTTTTCACTAATGTCCGTAAACCAATCGGTACATTTTACGTTTTATTCAGTAATCAACCAAAACAATATATTTTTTGACGGCAGCCATCTTTGATGTCATTATCCAGGTATTTCCTACTACCATTGACCTACTTTACCTGTGTATTTGTCACCTGTATAGGCAGACCTAATCCATAAATTTTAATGCGGAACAAGGGAAGTAATATTTAAAAATATTCGCATCAAGGGAAGTAACCTCGAGCGCTTTAAATGCGCTATATGAAGTATATGAAGCATAAGATAATATTTGCCAGAATAAATAATATCTGTTTAAAAACAAAGACTTACTAAAGGCCTCAACAGACGGTAGGATTTTGAAGTACATCACCAATTAAAACTAAGATGTACTGTGTAAAGGCTACTATTTCTTGAATTCGGAAACCTTGTGTCTAGATGTAAGGGATAGGACATGCTCTATTTTGAAAATCTTGTCGTACAGATTTTTACAGACCTCCCACAATGACAAGTAACAGATTACCAAATTATCTCCTGATAATGTGTGTGTGAATGAAATTCCAGAACAATTAGGGCTAAAAGGTAAACATAGTAGTAAGATGGGGTAAAAATGATGTTGAAAAACTCTTCAGGAGACCCACAGTTGTGTTTTGTTCGAATCCCATATTATTCCGAAAATGATTATGTCACGGTATTGAACTGTTCTCTAATTAGGGGAGGGGAGGTAGTTTGTAGACGGCCGGATAGCTTAGTTAGTAGAGCCGCAGTACGGTATTCAGAGGGTCCCAGGTTTGAATCTCGGTCAGGCTGTACGACAAGATTTTCAAAATAGAGCATGTCCTATCCCATACATCTATAGACACAATGTTTCCGAATTCAAGAAATAGTAGCCTTCACACATTAAGATTTGCCTGTACATCTTAGTTTTAATTGGTGTTGTACTTCAAAATCCTACCGTCTGTTGATATCACTTGGATATCTGTCCGCCTATCAGTCTGTCTGTGTCATTTTTATGTGCTTTTTTTCAGATTAAATTGCAGTATATAACACGTTCAGAGTTTGATGTACTTGTACTTATCTTTCTAGCAAAGATATAGATAACATCTTATCTTGTTATCTTTGTCTATGTCTTTAACATGACTCTTATTTATATTCCATTCTTATTCACATACACAGTCACTGTCAGCTTCAAACGCACTTAAATTTCGTCATCTTCTGAATATGTCACGTCAAGGCCACTGAGAATTCCTTTAATGAAATTCATCATTGGTTTAAACATATTTATTAGAGCTCGATGCGAAACAAGTTCTTGCAAATTATAGTGATCTTCCTGGAACCAACCAGTTCTGGTGTCATATGAAGAAACATGGTCTTGACCCGAGTAGGGCTCGAACCAATGATCCCTGGGTTATGAGGCAGACACCTTAACCCCTAGGCCACCGCTCCCCTTTTTCATTTTTTTAAAAATCATTTAGAATGAATGCCGTATTTAGATTAAGAGCATCGTCAGAGTTTGTGTAGGAAGCTATGTTGTCTTCCCCGTCACCACTTGTTCTTTCCGGAAGTTCCGTCAACATCAATGAGTCGTGTTCACATTCTATACCGTTCATTCTGATAGATAAATTTTGTTTCGTTACGGCAGAATCCATTCTAGACCATCTGTATCGAATTATTTAAGGTATCTCAATTGCAACAACTTCTTTTAAAAATCCCTCGGGTGATGATTCTGTGCATAAATTCTCCATCAAAAAGTCATTGCTCAAGATACTTGTTTATTCCATTTTTTTAAAATATTGTTTTATTAGTGTTAAATCATAATTGTTTTTAAAACACGAAAGTGCTGTTTAAGCACGTTAATGTAAGCAATCCTTGATTATTATTATCATTTTTTATCCATTTTTTAAGTACGCAACAGTTGTTGACTTCAAATAATTTAATTTCATTTGTTATATACGTGTAAAATATTAAGTTTGTGCTAAAATCAAAGCAATTCATTGTGAGAATTGCTTTCTTAATCATATTTTCAAATGTATGTACACAAGTCAATAATCAGGTAGAAACCATAAAAAAATAAGTCTGATGTGCATGCCAATAGTGTTAATTTAGGTCAAATACTGATTTCCTGGAGGAGATATAATTAACAGCGATTTACATTAATAAACGCAGCAGACACGTGCGCCAATTATTAAATAAGTGTTATATTTTCATAAGAATGCAGCAATTACAAATTGACCGATTAAATTTACCATTCTACTAATTACTAATCACGAGCAACAATTATTTTATTAATAGAAAGTGTTAATCATACAATGTGTCGCCACGTGTCGCGAATAATTATGCATTTCATGTCCATATACCGTAACATTGAGAATATAAATTAGGAAACAAACATGAATTCGACATCAAAGTTGCTTTGAATCTACAAAACCAAACTACTATTATCAAATTATTAAACCCCAAAGTAGAAAATTAGATTCATCAACAGTTTTAAACTTGAACAATTCTGACTTTGAGATAATAACATGGAAAAAATGAAATCAAAGATGGTGTCGATAAAACGCACTGTGAAAAAACTACAACGTTTAAGATCATCGAAAGCGAAATGCGAATTGAAAACTCATCAAAAGAATGAAACGAATCTCTGTGATAACATCAATACCAACAACGTGAAGAAAGATTTCTATAACAAAAACATATCTGTTATAGACGTAATCTCTAGGGTACAAAATATTCCACTGGAAGCCATAGGCAAGAAGGAACTTTTACAAAGATATCTGAACGATTCGATACAGAATAACGACACGTACGGATCAGAGTGTAATGATATGTACCTACCAGTTAGAACAAACGGAGTCGGATGTGAAGATATCTCTGATTTTGAAACAGAACTTCCGGAAAGAACACGTGGTGATGGTGAAGAAAGCATGAATTCCTACTTTGATTCTGACGATGTTTACGATATGAATGTAGCGTTTATTTTTAGTAACATTAGAAAACACGCGTCTTATACAAGGAATGATAAACTGAATGAAGGTATTCTCTACGATACTGACGTCACAGAAGATTACGAAAGTGCATTTGAAGATGACAGTGACTGTTTTGACAGTGTATGTGAATTAGAACGGAATATCTTTGACAGTTATGCTGAAGACACTTATATCAAACTGAACGAGCTCAAACGTACATTGTGTAAAGATAAACTCAATGCTAGAATAACTGAAGATGATTTACTTGACAGTTTTATGAATACATTTGTTCGTAATGAAGAAAGTGACGAAGGAAGGGGTTCACTCAACAGTGATTTTGACTGACATGATTTGATCAATTCTTAGAAAACATTGATATCGTTTACGTGCAAAATTTATACTTATATTATGTGTTATTGAATTGATTGTTATTGAATATGTATGTGCTATATATTTGTTACTAAAATAAAGAAAATAAATTTGAATTGATTTTGTTATTTGATACAAATCTGATTATATTTCTTGCTCAGATACGACTACAGAGCGTGATTTCAGTGCAACCGAAAAGCGTTTACCAGCCTGTTCATTTGCTTCAATTAAAATAATTCAGAACAGAACTAACACTTTATTTGTCACAAACATATATACATGTTCATCGCCAATACGTTGTTACAATGTATGTGATTATATTTCTTTGCTACAAGAAACAGAGCATGATTACAGTGAGACCGAAAAGCGTTTAACATCCTGTTTGATTGTTTCAATTAACATAGATCAGGTATTTAGTTATATTTACGATTGCAAAGAAATAGACAAAATTCATGTTAAATTTTGCAAGAATATACTTGGTGTACATCAGCAAACACCAAATGTTGCTGTGTTTGGTGAGTTAGGAAAATTTCCTCTTTCTGTTATTTCCAAAGAAAGAACTCTTAAATTCTGGTTAAAAATTATGAATAACCAGGACTCACCAACATGTTTGTAGACCAGAATAATAGAAATGCTGATTGTAACTTGGCAAGCAGTATAAAATATGATAAAAAGATCGACAAGGAAAGGCGGCGTTCAATGAACGCAGTATAAAACGATTGTTAGACAGCTTAGGTTGTAGTGACATTTAGCGTAACTTTAACTTAAATTTTAATTATATGCCAATGTTAAAGCAGCCTCTACGTGACCAATATATACAGAACTGGAAAACTTCTATACATAATATGCCCAAGCTTGATTATTACAGAAATTTTAAAACTTCTTTTTGTTATGAAAAATATCTTTAACAAATAACGTGTTAAGAAAAAGAGTTTGCTTGTTTCAGACTAGACTCGCATAAGTTAGAAATAGAAACTGGAAGATTTTCTAACATTGATAGAAATGATCGCAAATGTAAATTATGTATATATAACTCTATTGAATCAGAATACCATTTCCTTTTATGCTGCCCAATTTATACTGTTATAAGAACCAATTATTTTGGAAACATTTCATGGCCTACTATACAAAAATGTTCGACTATATTGTCCACTAATAATAAAAAGCTTATTCTTAAATGTGCTCACTATGTTCATTTTGCATTTTAGTTGAGGCAACAGTCTCTTGAATATGTAACTGCTTCTTAGTTTCATTCTTGTACTCTTTTTGTTAGATATTATATGATATAATGTTTGTAACTATTTAACTTTTGGTCATATTTGTCATGATATTCTGTTAATTGCCAAAGGTAATGTTTATTTGCCGATTTGCCAATAAACTGAAATGAAATGTTATAATCTCTAAAACATTTAAACCGAAACAATATCTTACAATATTCTTAATTCAAAATTTTATTTTGCTTTTTGGCCAGAATTTAGGGACGACTATAAAATAAAACAACTTGAAATAACACACGTTATTATTACACAGGTAAAATGGACCACATGTTTAATGTCATCAAATTCTACTACATGTAATCTTTTGAAAGAATTTTTGCAAAACTTAATCAAAGCGAGTCTGCAATTTTATTTTATTTTGTTATGATTAAATTTTTAATGATTCCGATGGATAAACCTTTCTTCAGATCTTTATACATCACAACAGCAGGTGTCAAGTTCCGTGTGGCAGCTGTAAAAAATTTCCCCGTACTTCACATCAGTGTTGTTACAATTTTCTGGTCCTTCAGGATCATTGATTCTAGCACTGTT